TGTCGTACATGCGCAGCGCGACGACCACCGCCCCTTAATATGAAAAAGCGTAAAACACGTTACAATTTTTAAAAACAATGCGAATTCTTGATACTTTGCTGAGTGAAACGGCTCATTAAATAAATGACAACACGTGAATAAAAAAAACGAGTGTATTCAAACCATTCCCTATGGAAACAATTATTTTGTGATTCCTCTACAGCTTTAAATCCCACTAACTGTGGTGCACGTGGCCATTTTGAATTTAAAAAATATGCCAAATGATGCAAATGAGGTTCGTATTTCAAAAAACTAGTTCGGGTACATGTTGTTTTCTTCTTAAATATTCCAGACATTCACAAAGAATAATTTAGTAAGCTTCTCTTTAAGAAATTCCTATCCCCAAAGAGACCATCCTTCAAGAAATCGTTGGTACTCAAATTTAGGCTCTGCGGTTCCATAGATATGCCGAAAATATTTTTAACACATGAAATATATGGAGGCCGACACCGGTGACCCGAAATCTAAACTCTGTTCAAGTTGACCTGGCAATTCAAAGCACCGTAACTTCTAGCTCTTAACCTCGGCATGCTTGAAAACGGACTCGGAGACAATTCTAATCTAGAAGCAATCCCAAGGTCCTGTGTGCTTACGTATATGGGGAAAATAAATCGTCGAGTGTCATAAAAAAATACAGAAAATCCAAAAATGTATGATGTACTCGTGACACGACGAGTTCATTTCCCATTTTCTGAGACATGTCTTCCCACAGTCTTGCATGCCCGCAAATGAATGATTGACACGACCTCCTTAGCTCTTTGCGTCCAAAAACACAAGATCCATTAAATCTATACACGACGAACATATATGTACCGTGTTCACGTGATATCGAGTGGATGAAAAACAACAATGTAGTCCGATGTAATACAGTGTAGTTTAACTCGTTACAATGTGGGTCCAACTCGTTACAATAGCATCAATATATTACTATGTAGTTGTGAAAAATGTAATACAATGTAGTTCTATATATTACAAAGTATTATAATGTAGTCCAATATGATACGATATAAGCAGTGTGTTACAATTTAGCTTGGTGTGTTACAATGTAGTTCTATGTATTGCAGTGTAACCCGTTGTGTTACAGTGTAATTCAATACGTTGAACCAACAAACTGTAATTAAACGTAAAACTCCTACGTACACCGACTGATCCGATCGAAGTAAACGAGTAATATTCAAAAAATGTCAATTTTCGACCGTTATTTACAGCGAAGAAGAACTTGACTTATTCTGCGAGAATTCACGGTCTAAATTGTTGTATTGCGGTGGAAAGTAAAGCCTGGAGGTCGATCGTAGGTCATAGAGGAAGGTATACAACGGGAAGTGCAACTACTCGGCGGTATTAACACATTTTTTTTTTCTTAAAAGGTTTAATCCTGCCCAATTGATTTCCTCTTGCCTCTGTGTTTAGTCAAGAATCGAGTTTAAATGGAGAGCAAAGTGAGTTCAAGAGGGGTCATACTTCGATGTGTAGTGATTTTCAAGATTCTACACATTAGTGACTGCTTTGGGATCGCTGGAACAAATTAATCGTTTTTATTACTCGTTATACGCAGTTCGGAGTTGGACCGTGAAGTCACTACGATCCGATGAGGCTCATTTGGGCAATTATGGTAAGCACGGCTAGTCCAGGATAATAAACAGTATGTCTGTCTATTGCGCATCGTTAAATCGTGACGGCGGTCATATGCTTAATCGCGAACACAATTGCAGCAATCTACGAAAGGACTATCTGTGAAAGTTACGGTCCCTCGATGCGAGTGTTATCGTTATGATCACACTTTGTATACGCCCATGACAGCGCCGATTCTGGTAACTTTAATGACACCCAACTGATGAATAGTTTTCTATGCCACCCATAAATGTAGTAATGTGTGGTTGCCATGGTAATATATATAATTCAGAATGCACGTCTTTGCTACTGCACGTGGCTGCGCAGTTGGCCAGATGAGGTGATTGTCACGTCATCAACTGTCGACAATGTATGAATCACTGCTCAGTATATTGTCAGACTATGGGGGAGGGGTCGGTATGATATGAAATGTGACTTGTAAACGCTTCCGCTGACCAAAGCAATAATGTCGTGCACGAATTGAATGCATGGCTGCGCGTACTTAACGGGTACTGAACCTTAGATTTTGAACTCTAGCATACTCTAGAGAAAATTCAAGTATAATGATGTTCAACTTGACGAGCGGAGTGGAGTATTTAATCAACCATACTGGCAAGTGTTAACAAACCAGGGTTATTGAAGAACGTTACCCGTTGATCCGCACGCTCTACGCATTGCACTGGAAAGTGTAAACATCTTGATTGGCATTACGTACACAAGAAATCATTGCAAAACATTCTAAATACCGCCCTCTGTCGCCGACTTCGACATTATTATTACCACAGTCCCTTGTGGATTGGTGCGTCATGGGTACGACGTTTGAGGCCGCGAGAATTAAAGTAACCAAACGTGAAAGAGCATATAGCACTCTGTATTCTGTAATCTACTAATCAGGTGATGATAGACTATATAATGAGAACGGCTTCATTTAGCACAGTTCGGTAAATAATATGTACACGGCTACGGTCGCTGAAAATCTGGTATGAAGTGAGAAATCACTTTTGAATCCATCGAGTGCACAATATAAACTGAATCAGAGATGTACATGTTAAAGTCATAGACTTCTGTGTCTTATTGTGTACACAATTGTCACGGCTAAACAGTGCAGTATTTTTTTGGACATTCCATTAGAGAGACCGCCTCCCCCGCGTGGTCACTGAGGGCGGCCTCTTATACAGAGTACTGGCGTCATCCTCCACAGCGTGAAGCAAGCTGGAGCGAGCGCCCTCTGTGTGGAAAGTGTACTGGCGTAGCACTGAGGTACATGCGTAGTAGCGATTGTAAGACGCCCCTCCCCTTCCAAAAGTCGAGATAAACTTTTCGGAAGGTTCCCGTGAAAACCACAGTCGAGTCGGAACTTGCGCCACACCCAGTCTGTTAAATGAGAAATATTAACCTCAATTGCAGACATCATTTTTGAATGTACATGTCTGATAGAATGTGCCCTCTATAGACTATAAATTGATTCTTCGACTGGGCAAACTTACGTTTAAATACAATTACAGAGCGATCAAATTACTTTTTCGCAACTGCAAAATATGAGCGTCAAATTCACTTAAATAAAGAACACTTTGAAATTCAAAAATACGCAATGTCAAATATACAAGAACGTCATGTCATGATGAATGGCTAGTTTTTGTATAAAACTCCCCTGCTGCCCACAGCCTTTGTGGAAACAGCGATTGGCGCATTACAGCCATCGAAATCACTTATCGGAAATCACGTTACAGAAATACTCTGGAGGGCGGGACTTACCATAAAAAGTGCATTAGGGAAACGTACATTTTTGGCCAATGTTACGCAATTTGATAATTACTAGTAAGAAGTTTAATGTACTCGATTAGGCGAATAAAGTGTTGGATTTAAATATTCCTGATAAAGGTAAAACACCATGGTCACAAATTACCAGTGATGCAATCAGTTTCCCATGGGTCTTCAGTTTTGGTACGGCACTACTAGCCTGAGCCGGACGATACCTGGGATTAACTCAAATGATTGACGCTCTTCTCATTTTCACGAGTAGCGTGTGTCGCTATTCACGTCTTCGCTGCAATTCCAGCTGATAAATACATTTCGAAGGAATTGCAGCGGTAAATAACTCCTGCTTCAAACAGAAGTCTGGTCACTGAACGTTAGGTGGCGCTATATCATTATGCACGACTTCGCTACTGATTAATTCGAGATTGCAAACAGTACGTTAATGTGGTACATTAGTGGGAATTATTCGTGAATTCTGTGGGCAGTTTTCTGACTTGAATCTTACCATTTTGAGCTTTTCTTCTTTCGTCATTATTTTTAATTTGTTGTCATTTTTATAATTTATTTTTTTAATGTGAACTTGAAAGCCCAAAGATCTGAACCTCCATACAATATCTTTTTCGCGAGTTCTTTAATAACTAGATCAGTCAACCAATTAGAGAAGGCCTTGTATACAGTGATTATGTGGGAAAGCTTCAAAGCTCATTCATTGCTGCACACAAATCTTTCTCTGATTATTAAAGTTTGTGAGAGTTGAATGAGATTTCCTATGAAGATTGTTCAGATCGTTGGGCTATAGTGATCGGACAATTACAACAAATTAAATTAGGGAAATCATTTAAAAAAATTGTTTTTTTAAATGTGAAAAAACTATAATTAGAATCTTAACATGAATAGTCTTGCTCCCCGACCCACGGATGGGTCACAGAACTGGACTGTCCCTCTGGTGGCATGACTTGATAGACCTGAAAATTATATGGTAGGATATTTTAAATTTGCATCAAGTGTTTTGTTCTGTGTGATCTTGAACTTCAACAGTAATCAAGCCACAACACCCCACACGTGCACACATGACCAAATGAGGAATTTGATAAATAGATTGTTTACTTATTGTATTTAGTAGTGGCAACTTTGCAAGGCTTTAACCGTCAGACGCATCTCTGGCAATCACGTGATCGTGTCAACGATTGCAGTGATTGGCTGATCGCATGTTTACTCTGCCACGCCTTAGAGACTTTTGAGATAGAGTTTGCAACTTTTTGTAGGAGGAGAACAAGAGAACGGTACAGCGAGGGGTTGCCTCGGCTGACTGCTTGTTTGAATAAAGCTGGACTATCTGTAATGAACTAATGTGTATTCATTCGGGTTGAATCTGGTATCTCTACGGACTAAAACGGTGAACAGTCTTTCCAGTAGCAACTGTGAAACTGATTAGTAAACACTGGTGGAGGACGCTGTGTAACTATACATTCCACAACAACGTTGCTGCAGTACAAACTTCAATAAACGAAAGTCAGCCACAAATCACAACACAAGAATTCAACTATGTCAAACGCCAAATGCAAACGTACAGAATGACCAGACTGATATGCACAAGTTTGTCACTGTGTTCATATTATAACTTAAAACGGTACCCTTATATAAATATTAAGCAATATTTCTAAAAAAAATACAATAAAATTAAGATCATGGGTAAAAATAATCGATGAAGTTTTTTTTCTTCTCTTCTTCAAATAAACATATCAACATTCTGACTTCACGAATGTTTAGTTTCGAAATTTCAGCAAACAGCTTGAAAAATCGTGAGGACAACGGAATAACTTCATATTCGTGTAGTGACGTCAGCAATTAGTCGTCACTCCATAGCTGCAATGAAAGTAGAACATTGTCAAACTTGTAAAATGTGACAGTTCATCTCAATGTCGCCATTTCTCTATATTCAAATCTACACTTACAGTGTATACTCTGAAAGTAAACATGGTTAAAAAGACCGAAAACGAGGGAGCATCAATACAAATTAAGTTTGATAAATATGTATTATAAGAGTGATTTTTTCTTTAATTATAGTGTGTTGTATCACATTATCTCGACGAAAACACATCCCTCTCCGCTAATTTGTGTTCGTTTCACCCATGCATGTTACAGTATAAAGTTGGGATACATGCCCCAGACAGTCACTCGCCACGAGTGGCTCTGGGTGTATAATGGCAACCTGTCGGTGTTTCTGTAAAACAGGACACAACTGTCACCACAAGAATTGGTAGTTTCAGAAATGCCTGGATATGCGTTATTTTCCCCCTATGTAATACTTTAATAGTTCCACAGTACTTACCAAAAAAACGATAGGTAAAACTAAAATATAGCTGCAAGAAAGCCAGTAATCAGCAGCAATTCTTTTACTTCGACAAGTGCGGCGCCATTAACTATAGAGAACAATTCAAACAGGTGTCATTAAACTCTTCGGCTAAACACACGCTTCTATATTCACTGATACTGAATTGCCCAATATGCACAAATGCAGATCTCAAATTAAAGCGCAGTAGTCGTCGCGCTGCGCATGTGCCACATTTGTGTTGATAAACATTGATTTTCCCACAATCCAATGCGCTCTTCAAATGCAAATCACAAGTATGAGGTTTGACCTGGGCGCGAATTGCACTGATTACCGCCGGTGACTCCTTCAATGCCTTCCAATAACATGAAAATTACTTAAAACTTGGAAACGTCCCAGTTTGTACTTTTTGATCTGTGCAACAGTCAAAATCGTCATCTTTGTTTATATGAGACCCATATATCTCACACATGCGCAGCGCGACGACTACCGCGCTTTAAACTCAATTACTAGGTATTGAACTCCACCGAAACTCCTGTGATGCCCACAGGTGTCAGTTATAAAGAAATCTGTACTGAGATGTTAAAAAATGGGAATACAACTTAAAGATTGCATACTGTAAAGTATAATTTATATCAACAAAGCAATCCTCAATGAAAGCTGTAGAGCAGCTTTGTCGGGTCCAGGTTTAAAGGCTAAATATGCCTTTAATATATATCCACTGATATACATGTGATTTTTTGCAGGATACTTTTGTCATAATTTTTTTAGTCCTTGAGAAGCTGAAGCTTTTTATAAAAAAAAAATCAAGCTGATCTTTTGATAATTTTGCGTAGAAAATCAAAGATGGCAGCGAAATCGCGTGACTGACTTAACTATTTTTGCTGTCTGAAGAAGTTCAGTTGAGAGATGCAACGTGGAAAAAATTCGAAGAAATAGGATAACTGATGCACCAGTGAAAACTACTTCCTGTTTAGAAAAATCCAATATGGCCACCAAACTACATACTTTAATGTGCTTAACACATAAATACTAAGTTTTATGTTATTGTGTTCGATGGTTTTGAAGAACAAGATTTTAAGCATGTGTTTTGGTGTTATTTTTTTAGGGAAAAACATTGTGCAAAATGTCACGTGACAGCTAAAGTTTTAATTCGTGATATTGGTAAAACATACCAATGATGTTACAAGCAACTCTGAATGCCTAGCTCCTCAAAATGACAATTCCGGTTCAACTCAAGTCCAGAATTGCTGCCAGTTGATAAATCAAAATTCTGTAAGCCAGGTAAACCAAGGCAAATTTGGGTTTGATAAAAACAAAGGGGTTCAAACTGACTTTGATTCTCAATAAACTTGGTTTAATCTGAAGGGCGGTAGGCGTCGCGCCACGCATGCACGAGATATATAAACAAAGATGGCAATTTTGACCGTTGCGATGATCAACGAGTACAAACTGAGACGTTACCAAGCTTTAATTAGGTAATTTAGACGATTACAAGTTATCGAAGGAGTCACCAGCGGTAATTAGTGCAAGTCGCGCCCAGGTCAAACTTCATACTTGTGATTTCCATTAGAAGAGCGCATTGGATTGTGGGTAAATCAATGTTTATCAACACAAATGTTGCACATGCGCAGCGCGTTTTATTAACCATACATTAGATTCGTGGGAGTATTTTACTAGTGTTGGTGACTTACCAACTGTGGGTTCTGGTTCTGGTTCTGCGGAGGTACCAAAGTCTGCTAAATATTAAACGGGATACAAACATTAGTTAGTGTGATCCTCGGAAATTTCATAAAACCGCAACGAAGTCAATTTTTCGATAGTATTTTTATCAATGTTGTTATTTATACTAGGTACGTAGTTGGGGAAATTTGAATGGGTTTCTCTGAACTGGAAACTCAAACACTGAATCAAAATTCATAGGAGACCACATCGTGACTTGTGTAAATGCAAAATACTATAAAAATACGATAAATCTGGAATCAGTCTACTTTAAATTAAATGACAAATCTAGAAAAAGACGCTTAAATTGTTGAAATGCAACACCATAGGGTTTCGTCTAGAGTCTATGGCCGCATACTTACTTGTTTGAGACGCATTTTGAGCAGAGGTCAACTCTTGAGAGGCATTTTGACCTGTGGTCACCGCCTGATACGCTTTTAGATCCAAGATGACCACTTGAGAGGCACCTTGACCCGAGGTCACCGCTTTGGAGGCACCTTGACCCGAGGTCATTGCTTCAGAGGCACCTTGACCCGAGGTCACTGCTTCAGAGGCACCTTGACCCGAGGTCACTGCTTCAGAGGCACCTTGATCCGAGGTCATCGCTTGAGAGGCACCTTGATCCAAGGTCACTGCTTCAGAGGCACTATCGTTAAATTTTACCGTGATCGGCGCTGAGGTCATATCGGCTGAAATATCAAGGAAGGGAAAATATCAGAAGTTACTTATCTTAGTTTAAACATATGCGTATATGATATATGCCAACAATATATTTTTATCACCATGCAATTAAAACGTAAAATCAGACCATTCAAGCAGGACAAACCAAACCATGGACTCCTACTCGAATATTTGCAGGAACACTGTAATTTGTCCTGGATCGCGTGCCCTCCAAAAACTCGAACTACACAAACAATGCTGAGCTCTTGCAACAATCTCACACCCATGAGAGAGGGGCGACTTGGTACCCGATCAAATTCAGAGGCGTTTCAGTCCGGTGATTATATTATTCTTTGAAATATCACGATGAAAATGTAATTTACTTACCGGTGACAAAGGCGTAAAAACAACACAACTCCACAATAACAATAACATTCCGCATATTTCACTGAAAACAAAGGAAGTACAATTACCGATAACATTGTACTTACATTCTTTTGAAAATACTGTAAAATTATTAATTTCACTAGTGTTTAATTTTACACATTTACACGTGGTTATTAATTCACTGATTTTCCACGTGGACTGTAGCAGATTCTACTGATCAGTGAAAAATGCCTAATAAAACCTCAGCGAATTAACATATTACAGTCAGTCTCCCTCGGAACTTTGAAAAAGCATGGCGGCTCATTTGCATATTATTAGCGTTGATTTATATAATAAATCGCATTATTCAGTGAAAGTTAAAATAAACATGTTGCCAATTAATCATAAATGGCATGACATCAGAGTCCCATGTTACTGTCCCACGTGACGTAATTCACACTGCGGGTCGAACACTCTCTTTAACGAACGTCATTGACGCCCGACAGTCACCACGCGGAGTGAAGAATACGGAGAAACGAAATAGAAACAACGACCTTTGAGTTAAATTGGACATGTTGTTAATACAATCACAAGTCACTAAAACACTACCGTCGAACTTAAGTTCTGGGATTTGTTCATTGGTTCAGAGAGAGACGTAAACCTCACCTTTTACTGCTATTTATTTATTATCCAGGAGCCTCTGAGGTGGTTATTAGTCGAGAGAGGACCAAGACACCGTGACTTGTGACTGATGTTACGTCACCTGCCGCACACGGTTAAAGTAAATCTTGTCTCCATTTATGCAAATGAGTGTCTGGCATTGAACGATCGATAAAACAAAAGAACACCTTCTCAGTGCCACTGGCGCTATTACAGTTTCGTAAATACGAAAAAAGAAGAATAAAAAAAAAATACACCCAGGCTTTATAGTCACCCAAAACTTTTTAAGTACAAATAGTAGACAAGATAGATGCATATTTGTGTCCACTGTGTGCTATGAAAAATAATAAAACAGCCAAAAACAGTAAAAAATCTAGGTGAGCTGAAGAACTTGGAGTCATTAAGTTAGCACATGTGATTCTATTAGAGCAAATACAGCATTTAAAAATATAACTGCAAACAATGATCTGGAGGGTTCCAAGTAGCTATGGCTTTAACAATTATAAATAATTCATGAAATAATGACCATATATGATGACTTGATATTTTGGTCAAATATATTGTCAGACAAAATTATAGAACAAGTAGCACGTTCCTATTAGCAACAGTACTTATATCACATTGATTTCAACCCCAAACTAATCAGGTTTGCGTATTATCCCAGAGCATCTATGTACCACGTTTCATCAAAAGCTAATTAATGTGCTAATCAATATGCAAATTAAATTATTAATATGCATAGATTTGTAACCCAAAACATGGAGCATCCATGTACCAAGTTGAAATGTTGAAACATCAGCCGAAAAGCTGAAGATTTACTAATTATACAACTTAGTAATTAATATGCACGAATATTAATCCAATACTCACCAGGTCTGTTCATTGTCCTATGACATCTATGTATCAAGTTTCATTGTAATGTGATGATTAGTACTTGAGATATCAGTGAAAAACTCTAATTACTAATCATTGTGCAAATAAGGTAATTATTATGTACAGATTTTTAATCAAAACTAATTAGGTCTGCGCATTGTCCGAGAGCATCTATGAATCAAATTCCATCAAAATCCAATGAGCGGTTCTTTAAATATCAGTGGAACAGTCATGGAACAGCTAAAAATTGTGTGTAAAATTATCATGCAAATTAGGTAATTAATAAGCACGGATAAGCTGCGCATCAGCCCAGAGCATCTATGCATCAAGTTTCATTTACAATCGATGTATGGTTCTTGAGATATCAGTGGAACAGACGGACACACATACACATACACACATACAGAAGGCTATCTGCAAAGACTCGCAGTGTGTACCGGAGTCAAAAACACTAACGTGAGAGGTTTACAATTGATGTTAGCACAGGGCTGTATAGAAAAGGTAACACCCCCCCCCCCCACCCCCCGCCAACGCCCTCTATAGTTCAAATTTCTATTCAATCCTTTGCAAAATCCAATATGGACATCGTCCGCCTGCACGGTGTTGTTCCGCTCGGACATTCCTCCCTCCAGCTTTGCCGGAACATTCACCTTGAAAATTCAAGATGAATATGGAGTTAATATATTTCTTCCCTATAAATAAATAATAAAGAAGAATACAGACCATCGATTTGGGACAGGAGTTTAAAAGCTCGTGTCAGTTATCTAAGTCACAGTGTTGTATTCCTTTCTATAATAATTCAGGATTTAAAATTGTTTTTTCTCGATGTACAGCTTGCAGTTTGTTTTCGACAAATCTTCCACCCACACTCGGAAATTCAATTGGTATGCCCCTAATATCTAAATCATACTAAGATTATAAAAGTTCTTTTTGGTCTTGTATTTGTATGGGTAGTATATATATATTGATCGTTTAAAGTTAAATCCACGTTTAGTTTTGTTCCAGTCTCTGACTGGAATGACGATGTTGTGCGTGTTTGGCGTGGCGAGATGTTTGCAAACCCAAACAAGGTTTCGTTCAGAGCAGATTCTATTGCAAAATAAAAAGTACAATGCATTCTGGATAAATATTATTACAAAAATAAACGTGTTACACAGTTGAGTGTACTACGGGTGAACCAGAAATTGTGGACATGTGAGCCGATCATTTTGATGCTATCTTCAATTTCGTGAAGAATTATCAATATAAAGCAAAAGTTCAAAATTGCATATCTGACTGTAATAATAATGATAATTATGTACCTATTGCATATATTGTGAAGTTTATTGGTAAGCTACCAACTCAAAGGTCACGTGGCCCTGATGTTTCTGCGCTGAGAATCTAAGTATGCTAACTCGTGTATTAATGTGCATCTGTCTATGTGTATCTCATTCATATTTGTCAGCGGATATATCCCTGTCGAGTTTTCAAACTTTATTCTCTATTGAAAAATTAAAATGGAGATGTAACCAGCAATAGAAACTACCGTCCTATTGTCATTACAACCATAATATCAAAACTAGCGGAACACTTATTTCTTGAGAGATGTGAACTATATTTCGTGACTTCCAGCAATCAATTTATACAATTAGTTTTAAAAAAAAGTCACTATACGGATTTCTGTGTTGCCGTTTTATAAGAGATTATTCGTTTATAACTCTCTCGGTAGTACTGTCTTTGTTTGTTTTCTTGTTGCGTCAAAAGCTTTTGACAGAGTTAATCACTGGACACTGTTTAGCAAACTAGTACACCGTAAGGTTCCAGCATACATCGTTCGATTTCTTGTGAACTGGTATTCCTCGCAATACTCCTCTATCAGATCGGGGAAATTTGGTTTCGCGACTATTTTCTGTATCTAATGGGGTGCGACAAGGGGGTTGGCAAAATAATAATCAATAACCTTCGTTATGCAGACGGCATGTGCATGATTGCGCCCTCTATCGAGGTTTTGAAAAAACTTATACATGTTTGTAAAATCTATGCGATCCATCATGATATTGAATATAATCTTACCAATACAAAATACATTTTTCAAGACGCATTACCTTCAGGTACTAAATATGATTATGACATCAGCTTTGTGAAGAACTTTACTTACCGTTGTGATCATGTGATCAAGGTAAGTAAAGTTCTTCCATTGACTATGGATTTATGACAATATGAACATTGACAACCAGAGACGGTCGTTTTGCATGGGAACAATAGCCTGTTACGCAGATTTGCCAAATGCAGTTATCGTAATCTCAGTTTCAAATTAAATGAACGTGGGCACATGTCGTCAAATCGTCTGTTTTAGAGCCTGTATAATTCTGATATACGGTCACGGTGGAAGCCAGAACTTTTTCAACACTGGAAAAAGCAGCTGTACTAACTTTTACATTTGTTATTTATTTGTTTTGTTCTGTTCTGCTATGTATCTTAAGATCTGAATTAAAGCAATAAAAAAGTTGTTTTTATGGAAAATTTACTTATAATAAATAAATTGTCTCATTATTCAGTAACAAGAACGTTATTGCTTAATTGAAGACCGATACACGTAAAGTCACTATCAAATTTGACTATGCATGACATAAAGTGATTTTACAATATTTCATGAGCGTCACTTTACAAGAATGAGGAATGTACATAAATTCACTCACGTGACCACAGTTATCTTTATCTCTGGAACTGCACGTACAAAGATGCGATTATAAATATATTAAGTATAAGCAAAAAATAAGACGAAAAAGTTTATTCCACAATTTCCAGAGGCCTAATATCACTTGCCAGCAAGTTTACGAAAATAGAATTAATCTGTATGATTCGATAAAAGAATCTATAATTCCAAGTTTCACTTCAAAACTATCAATGAATATTCTTTAATTTTCAAACATACAAGTATTAAAACCTCGAGGTAAATTACACACAATCAAAAGGGCAATATTGTATGCCATTCAAATTCCGATTAAAGTCTGCCCTCTTGAAAAATGACCACAATAACTGCAAATATTTGTTACAGCGCCAGCTACGATGACACTGTGCATGTGTGTAAAATGGCTCGTGAAACTAAGCGAAGTGAACGGAGACTGCGTCAATAAAGTAAAAAACCTTCACATTTTAATCGTTGATGAGAACAGATATCATCAACTTTTCGTGTTTTTTTTTCGCCGGGCACAAAATAAACCACAAACGCTATCGCGTTAGACAGATCAGAATTGGGGAATTGAATGACGTCATAGTTTTACTTTATCGCACGGATAATATAAATCTTTATTCACTGGGG